ATGTTCACTCATGCAAGAAGGAGACATGATTATCACATAACCTTTATTGATAATAGATACTTTTTGGTTATAAGACACAAGTCCAAAGCATTTGAAAAGTTTAAATAATTTAGACTTAAAGTCAAGTAACGAACTACTAAAAGTATTAAGATATTTTAATTAGATTGAGGTGATGAACAATTAAGTGCTAAATTTTTAGATCACCTAGAAGAGAAAAGGATTCTCTATCAAAGAAAATCACATGTTAGACATGGTATGATCTATGATGAGTTGAATTAATATACCTTTTTTTATTTTGGGATAAACACTCTTTACTACAATCTTTACCTTGAAAAGGATTCTAATTAAGTCTATCCGATTAGACTTCATATGAGATATGAAAAGAAAAGAAAGTAAATTTATCTCTTCTTAAGATTTGAGGCTATAAAACATAAGTCAAACCATTTGATGAAGACATAATAAAATCCAAATCAGCGAAGTGTAAATTTATGAGATATCCAAAAGAAACAAATGGATATCATTTTTCTACCATTAGAACAAAGTGTCATTTATGACTAGGCATGTTATATTTCTTGGGAAGGAATTTATAAATGATAGAAACGAGTGGAAGGAAATTAGAAGTCAATGAGATTCGAGTAGTAGATAGGTTACAAAGTATTGTAACTACCTCATAAACAAATACACAAGAAAGTCATAAGTCTAAAATGAGTTCTTCAAAAGATAAAAGATATGATCTTCTTATCTCAATATATGGTGATATGTGCCCTAAAAGGGATGATGAAGCTAACACTTTTGAAATGACAATGTTAGACACCGACTCCTAAAAATGGCAAACGAAAAGGATGAGTAAATGACACCTTGTTGGTTCTAAAGAACGTGCAAATAAGATTTACAAAATGAAAAGATTCATTTATGGACTTGAGCAATCCTCTAGGAATTAGAGTTATCTTTTTAACGAAACAATCAAAGAGTTTGATTTTCACAAAAATAAAGATGAACCTTATGTATATAAAAGGTTAGTGGGAGCCTACTAGTTATGGTTATTCTACATGAAAAATTAAACAAACTACTTCTCGACTATAACATTATCGTGTTACAATCGATAAAAAAAAATAGGTACTCATAAATGACATAAGAGGGCAACCTATATTCTATAAGTTGAGATTTATAGAGATAGATGACTTAGTATGTGAGGGGTCTTCCAAGGTAGATACGTTGACATGATACTAAAAGGTTTAGTATAAAAAAATCAAAGAAAAGATTTTTTTCAATTTCACATAGCTTGATGACCAACTACATAGGTTCCTCGCATTGTTAATCCAATAGTATTTTACGACAACAACAATAAAGCTCTCATCAACGATCCAAACATGTATTACAACGTTATCATCCGATTAGAGAGATTATCGATCGTGGTGATATAAGGATAGAAAAGGTCAACGTTGATGATAACATAGCCGACTCCTTAACTAAGCATTTATCATAGGTAAAATATGAGACCCTTACTCAATCATCGATAATAAAAAACATGGCTAGTTAGCTCTAGTGCAAATAAGATATTGTTAATGTAAGTGCCTAAGATCCAACCTTGATTGGATAGTTTAAGTTATTGTAACATTGCATTATTTATTTTATTAATAATAAAAGAAGTCTTTCTATTAATTTTTATTATTTATATTTATTTATAGAACGGAACTAGATAAAAGTTCATAGGATATGCATTTGCATTAATGATTGATCAAAAGATGTGAGACAAACATTAATGTACTTAAATGATATCATTAAATGTCCTAAGTCGTATCATTATTAAAAATAGACATTGACTATATGTGGTTAGACTTATGAGTGCTATGCTCTTGCTTTAAGATAGTAGTAGGAGATCTCACATCTATTAGCATAGTGATGCCAAAGTAAGCACTTAGGTGATTAATGTTAAAGAACATATCACTTGGACTTGACTCACCATGAGAACCCATTTGGTTTAGTCTATGGAAATCTCATACGAGATGAATACAATCGGTTATTTGACTTAAAGTCACCATGGTTATCTCATTAAAGAATTTATATACTTTGACACTCATTTTGATAAACCCGGTAAAGGGTTACATGTGGATGATTCGTTGGGTGCACTTGGGAATCTAATAAAGATAGGCGGATGAATAAGATAAGACATAGCATTCCTTGTTTGCTTGAAAGAGTTATCACATTATATTTTGATAAATGTTTGCTCAAGAAATCTATGGCCACGAGTATGAGTACATTAATAGGATATAGTTGGTTTACTCTAATAGCTAAGACATCTAGAAATCGAAAAAAACTTATGTGATCATAAATGAATAGACTAATAACCAATTTCGAGATCACATTATGATAAATTGACATAAGAACTGAATTGCATGGTAACCATGCTCGTGAAGGTAGCTGCGAATTAATTAATCCTCCTAGAAAATTGGGTATTCATGATGTCTTACTAGAGGTCAATCTTGATTTATATATTAAAAAATAAAAGAGGTGTCTTTTATTCTTGATACATTGTCAACATATCAAGAGCCTATTGAGTCACACGCGTAAGTTTAAGCATTCATGTAATAAAAGAAAAGCAAATATGCTTGAAAAATGTTTTCAATTTTGAAAGTTTTTTATTTTGAAAAAGGTTTTCGAAAATGAAAAGTTTCCTAAAATAGAAGTTTCCTAAAGTGAAAATTTTTCTATTTTAGAAATCAATTTTCTAATTTGAAAGTTAGTTCCAAATTTAGAAGTCACTTAAAAAGGAAATTAGTTTCCTAATTTAGGTGCAAGGGTAATTTGAAAAATTGTTTCCTAATGTGGACCTTTAAAAAATATCTAACCTAATTTATTTAGGTAGTCCAAATTAATTAGTCATTAATTAGGCCAAAAGAGTTTGGGCTAATAGGTTTAATTTAAAAGCCTACAAGATATTTTGATAGGAGGATAAACTTGAATCTTATTGGATAATGATGAAGGTTTAAAAGAATAAGATCAAAAAGCCTACATCCATAATAACTCCTATTCCTTGAAGGATTAGGAAGCAATAACCATGAGCCCTTTAAGGACTCATTGCCACCATTTCCTTGTCATTAGAGGACAAGGAAGACACTCCTCTATAAATATAAAGGAAAGTGCGGCAAAAGTACGGTTTTAAGCTAGGGATACACTGCTTAGGGTAAGAAATAAAGAGAAAAAAGCCTTCTCTTTCCCAAAACACTTTACACATTCCCTTCTCTCTTAAGGTTGTTGCAAAATATTCCTAAATAGATTTTTAAAGAGAAAACACTAAACAAGTCGAGAAAAAAAAATGGAGCTAGCACTTTACTCCTTTTGAGTGCTTCTTGTGTGGGTGCTTGGACTGCGTGAATTATCGATATAGCCTAAACACTTGGATGGTTTCTTTTATATAAAGATTAAATTCTACGCTAGAAGAGGTAATCCTTTACTTATGCTTTAATTCATGTATGTATGATTAGTTGATTCAATAACTTGATCTTGAGAGCCTTAGATGGATAAAAAATTTCGTTTTATTTCGCATCTTCATAGGATGCATGATCTTTCAATTGGTATTACGGACATATTAAATCTTTGATTATATGCTTTATTAATTGTTCTTCGTTACGATATTGATTTTTTAAAAAATTCATTTTGATTTTGTTTTCTTATAGATATATTACTTTTAATAGAAAAATTGCAAGATATCAATAGATCTAATATGATAATATTTTTTCATTTGTTTATTATTTTTAGTTTTTATCAATATTTTATGTTTAAATCTTGAAAATAAATTTAAAAAAGAAAAAAAGAAGATAGATTTAAAATTCTAAAGATTGATATATGATATTATAAAAAATAAAATTTTTATTTTTTTAAAAAATATACTTATTTAAATCTATTTAAATTGTTTGCTTAATTTTGACCAAGTTTTCATTTTGATATTTAGGAACCTAATTAAAAAAGAAATTTCATTCAAGGAATATTTCTTATTGTAAATAAAATAACCAAAAAGCTTTCAATTAGAAACTTGTTTGTAAGAAAAATAAATTATAAGGACCAAAGTAAAATTTTCAAGAAATTTAATGGACCAAATGTACATCAAGTAAAAATTTCATATTTTGAGCACATGACATGGGCTAATTTTTATTGATGTCTGTAATATCACCTGATGAAGGATATAACGATGACAAAAATGTAATATATAAGCTTGATATTAATATAGAAAAATAATAGAGAGTTTTTAAAACACAAAACAAAGAGTACGGATATATACAAAAGTAATACTTATAAAAAAAGACAGAAAGAAAATGATAATCGAGCTTTAACTTTTATGACAATATATATACGTTTTTCCACTGAATTCTGTCCAATTTTTCTATTAGTGTAGAAAATTAATCATTAAATTGATAGTGGATACATCTTATAATATTGTCATATGCCACTGTAAAAAAAAAAAAAAAAAAAAAATTAGTTTTACAGGGGGAAAAAAAAAAGGAGTTATTATAAATCAAACATGGAATTATATATGCTGTTCAAAATAATAATAATAATAATAATACGCAAACAAGCAGTATTATAAATCCATGGTTATTTTCATTTTATGGCCGCGCACACTTACTACTTTTGTATCATTAAGTTGTAGTTTATTTTATTTTATTCTTTTTTGCTCCATAATTTGGGCAATTTCTTCTAGGTGATTCTTTTGGGTCAACCATGACTTATAGATGCCAACCCCAAATCCTTTACATAATCATGACTTGGGGGGAAAACGTTATATATGATATGTTCAATTGTTGAAAATTTGGTAACACATGGAGGCTTGCCTTTATCTATATTAATAGTAATGTTAGCTCCAAAGCGATCCCAATCCCATTATATATGCTCATGCTGACTGACATTTTAGGATGACATTTGAGGATGTTACAACTTGATTCCAGTGCAGCAATCACAAGACACATGCAACATAAGATAAGCAGATATGCTGAGCTTTGAATTTAAAGATCAAGAGTGTAAGGAAATCCAGTGGAAGGTAACCAACTAGCCCCTCCAACGAAATTTCTAGCAGTCAAGGGTTGCACCTCAGTTGCACTAGTAACCACCTATAAAATGCCGATAGGTCTGATCCCACACGAATTGCAACAGCTTGGTGTTTTGATGGTCCAGCTGAGTTTTGAAATGTTATATCTCTGGCCAAGAATCCGTCTCCGACGGCAGCTGCAAGACAATGAAAGTCCTTAAGCAATGTTTTAAAACATACTCAACATTTTGCAGCAGAAACTGGACTTGGTGATGAATTGAAACATATAATGAAGTATAAAACAAGCAACAAGAACTCCAGACCAAGCATGTTAATTATTCGTTATATTTCCAGTTTTTCCATTTTTCTTCGTGTCTCACACTCTCACTGAATAGCATTCAAAATGTATGGACATCCATTTTTCCCAAACGAAACTAACATGATATATATATATATATATAATCTTTAATCATCAAGGATGCGAGATCATTGTTTTGTACTAATTGATAGTACTGTTCTTGAGTATTGTGCCCCTTGAATCTAAGCATTTGATTACAGACAAGGCAAGCTAATTATAAACAACATTAAGCTGCTAATTTTAGCTCAAAATTCCAGTAATTACTGACAGAACTTGAAAAACATAAACCATTTGAGTTAATATATAGAAGACTCACCAACGGTTGCAGAGTTAAATGTGGTGCTGCCATCAACCACATTTCTACTAGCAGTAATGATGGTGGTTGTCCTTCCATCACCCACAAACATAATGTTGGTTTTGCTCCTTGGCACATCCACATTTCTCTATAAACCCCTGCTTTAATCCTTATAATGTATCTACTACTACTCCTCTCTGGTGCAGCCAACACCGCCTCCAACACCGTCCAGTAGTTTCCACTCCCATCAGCAGCCACAACAACATTGGGAGTCACAGTTGTTGCCTGAAGCAGCCTCGATCCGGTCCCCAGCTGACAACCATTCAGGCCATTCTGTTCCATTTTCCTCTTCAAGCTTCCTGCCTGATGATAGAGATTGCTCCTTAGCCATGTCTGTGTCAGTTAAGTATCTATAACATAATAATTTGAACCTTTTTATCAGCTTTATCATGAGAGAAACCGTCGAAGCAAGTTTCCTGGTTGGTTATTGCAGCACTGAGTAGAATCTTGAGGTCATCAGCATGTGCTGATAAGGACTTGTTTAAAGATGGATAGTCTTGGAGTTCCTGATAAACCTTGGAGAGCTGGTATAGAGTTTCGTTTAACATTACTAGACAATCATGGAGGCCAGTAGTTTCGCGCTCCGTGAAGCTCCTCCGAGCAGAAGTGAGTTTGTGAATTTTGAAGTAGCTATGTTGGGCAGCGGACGTGGTTAGATTCGAAAACAGATCTATTACATCCTTTGTGCTCTTTATCTTGCTTGTGGCATCTGGTACAGCTGATATTGCTGAGAAGCAGAGGTCAGAGTACGATGTACTACTGCATGAGGATTTGATGATGGCATGAGCTACTTGGTGGTCATTGTTGCTGTTGGTGGGGCTCTTACTTGAGGTTACAGCAGCAACAATGCTAACAATGGCAGTTACTAGCATGATAGATGCAAAGAGGCCCAAGAAGAGCTTTTTCTTGTTCTTTAACGTGGCAATATTATGATTGCTGGAGTTTGACATTATTGGAGCAAAAAATTTCTTGATGTTTGCTTATTTAGCAAGGAAAGAAATATATGGGGAGACCGTGGACTGGAGAAGACAAGTTTCATCCTCTTATAAGGAGCTACAGTGTTGCTTTTTTTTTTTTTTTTTTTTTGGGAGTGCACTCACCACACTAGGACATATTTGAACTTTTAAGACGGGATAAAGACTTATCCTTAGCTCTGATGCAAGAGCATCTCGCACGTACGAGCCATACAGTAGTGGCCTGACATGGTGTGTGAGTGTCAATGGTAACGCAAGTTGCTCGACAACCTAAGCCCCATGCCCTTCTCTGTGAATAGATGGTAACAGCCAGGACGTCCTCCGGACTGGCACCGAATAGATAAGGTACTTGATGCTTCTTGAAGCTATTTCAAATTGTCAGAAGCCATATTTGTTTGTTTGGTTGTGCGACAAAAGTTTCATGTTTTTCTTCTTCCACTCGCGAAATATTTATTTTGAGAAAAAAATTACCCCTTGTTTGGATAATTCCTCTTGGGAGGAAAGAAAAGAGAAGGAAAAAAAAAAAAGGAAAGAAAATTATTTTTCACTTATTATTTGGATAAAAGTGGAAAGGAAAATAAAGAAAATACATTTTCCTTGTTTGGATAATTATAAAAAGAGAAAAAATATATATTATTATATATTTACTATAATGCCTTTAGGATTATATTTTTATATTTAAATACTTATAATAAATTTGTAACCACCTTTGATCTTCAATAGGAAGCACCTAGTAAACAAAATGTTAAACGAAAAATATCTCTCATGCTAAAATGATTACCATAAACCTAGTTCATATATTTTTCATTTAAAAAAAAAACATGACAAAATAATTAAAATATGCATAGTTTATGGTACAATAAATCAATTTTATATTAATAGAAGTTATTTTATTCCCTGTAGATATTGATGTCTCAAAAACTACGAATAAACTTCTTACACATTCAACATCCCAGTCAAATGGTTTTAACTCCAAGTCAAGGAGCGTCATGAACAATATTGATTATTAATCATATTCAAACCATAAATTTACAAATGCAACCCTATAAAAGGAACAAAAACCTAACTCGAGAAACCAAATAAACAGACTCCATGGAAGTCTAGATGCATAATATCGTTGCAAAAAATAGGACACTTATACACAGCATAGGCTTGATCCAGCAAAGGTAAAAATGAGAAAGCAAAAAATAAAAAAAACAAAAAAGGTCTACTTCAGGTTTCCTTCTAATTTCCTCCCAAATTTGAGAGGAAAATGAGTCCCACAAAAAAACATTTATTTATTATTATTATTTTCTTTCCTCTGGTTTCCTCTATAATTCAAACAGGAGAAAACTTTCATTTTCACCCCATTTTCTTTTCTTTCTCCCACTTTCATCCATATCCAAACAAGGGGTTAATTCTCATAATTGATGTCCATCAGATTCAGTTGTTGAAACGTTTCGTTAAATGCGTTAAATATAAACTACTCAAGTCACTTTGGCATGATGCCATGTAAATCTCTCTCGCATCAAGGATTTAGAGAAGATCAAGAGCCACTCATGTAATAAATAGCTCAAGAGCCAACAATACTTCAGGTCAATCATATACTAAAATTTATTAAACGAATAAAATCCGTTTGAGCACGAAGATTATATACAAAAACTTGGTCAGAAGCCACACAATCCAAGGTAACCGTCCAAACACTGCCGAACCTTGGATCAACTTCGACGCTGACGCTTTACCTCCGACGTGAAATGAATACGATGGGTTTTCATTTCATGGACAGAATTTCATTGCCCTTCTTCCACCAAAATTGTTGTTTATGGGAATTTTAGTATGCACAGCATTTTACAGGTCTGTTTCATGAAAATTCGAATCCTGTCCCAAAATTGCATCCACCACCTCATCAGTAATCCAACCCAGAAAAAATATCGACCATAATCAGGCTGAATACAAGCTGATCAAACCAGAATTTGAATAATTAAAGCATCAAACATTATACTAGAAGATTAAGAGAGATATAGACACTAGTTACATCAGGAAATTTAGCAACATCCGAAAGTTCAGTTGACACTAAGTTGAGCAGACGGCTTATCCGGCAAAATCATGAACCCCATTGTGCAAGAAATATGAGAGGAGACGTACTAGCTTCATTTGCCCTTATTGGTATCTTGGGGGAGCTGTAGACCCATGAGCCCAAGCAAATTGGAAGTAGGGCCAGGTTGTCCTTGTTGAGATGAATAGGAATCAAGTAGGCTCTTCACCAGGTTAACATCAACATCCACTGGAGTAAATTCTTCGTCCATGTCCTCCACGGCATTTGATGTCCCCTGCACTCCAGTAAATTCACACATCACACAATTTCATCTAAATGCTTACAGTACAAGGCACTCTAGCCAAAAAAGGAAGGACAGATATTGTACACTCCTAGTCCTACTATTAAGCATGCATAATACATGCACATTTTGCTTAAACTTCTTTTTACATGATGCAACATGGAGCAGAGCAGGAACCCAAAGTTTTGGTATAGACTTGAATCAACAAGATGAACTGCACTAATTTTAGCATCTGAACAATCTCTAAAAATCCACTAAAAAGAACACATGCATAAGAAACACCCCTCATGAAAGGCAATTGTATCCTTACGCACCCTTTCAAGGCATTTCATTGAATAGGAACCAAATATTGCTGCAAAATCCAAATTTCAGCACACTCTCCACACGTGCAAAATATGAAAAAGCTACCTCATTTTTCTTGGACAACTGGTCATCTGTACGAACAAAACTTTTCTTAAGGGTGGTGTTCTTCAGTTCCTCATTCAGAGCATCAGAATAAGTGTTCATGAAAGTGTCCTCTCCATCCACATTATCCTCAGAAGCTTCCATAATATCACTCTCATCTTCAGACTCATCTGAGAAAAATAGTTGCAGGTAATAAATTAAGAACCATAAGAAACATAGAAAAAAACCCATCTACCATTCATGTGCTAATGCTTTGTCTAAAAGAAGAGCTTGATATACTGCATGCACAAAACAAGATCACTGAATCATAAGAGACACGCAATCTTGAAAGGACCAAAACAAGAGAGAGACTCAATCTTGGAGAAAACTTTTTTAATTCAGCCAATAATAGTACATCCAACTGAATGTCTCCCTAGGGTGTTTATTTATAGGCACCCAATTGAAAAAAAAAAAAAAAAAAAGAAGTCCTAATAATAGTAGGAAACACAAGAAAAATAAATTAGTAAAATTAAACCCTGTATTTTTTTCTAAAATAAGTAGCCCTTCAGCCTCTGAAACATGTAGCATCGGAATCTGGATGATCACACTATACGAAAACATGATGGCAAGTATAAGAACATCTAAATAAGAGTTTTAAACCTTACTGAACCTCCCAGATGAAAAATCACAGCATGCATCCTCATTTCAGCATAAATTTTCAATTTGATCTAAATTCATCAAATATATTTTGAAGCTAATGCAATGTGTAGTTAACTTAATATTATCTAGCACAGAGGGGTCGGCTTTAGGTGCTCAACCATTTTACAGGGGTCAACACCACAAAGAGTGGAAACAACCCAGAACATCCAGACAATAGGTATCCATGTATAGGCTCGAGCCATGTGATTTATAACATGTTGAATTTTTGCTTAGCTCCCAGCACAACCACTCCCCCCAACTAAACCCCATCCCACCCACCGAAAAATGTTTTGGCTGCTAACAGAAAAGCCTCTTAGAAAAGCATTCAAATTCTAGCCAAAACAGTTTAGGCATCATATTTTAGCTATAGCTTTGTTGTATCATTTTGTAATAAGTCTAGCCATAAGATGTAGAAATTAAAGATCATAAAATTTTCCAACCAACCTTACTACCCTCTAAACAAAGAGCTAACCTAATTACACTTATGTTGCTGCTTCTAGATTAAAATGAGGTGAGACTTGACCAGTTAACATAAAAGAAAAAAAGTATATGATTTCCAGCATCAGCAACACCCATGCGAAAAAGAAACTTATGCGACATAACAAACTCAAGAATAAACATACCAAAATCCATGTCAGATGATGATGCTTCTTCAGAATCAACACCACCAGCACTGTCTTTAGGGCTATAGTGCTTCATAACAGATTCCATGTCTTTTAGAAAACGGTCCACATCAAGGTCCACTTCTGTCATATTCCTTCAAATAAAAGAAACAAAATACCTGAATGTTGTGGTCAGTTATTGACCCAGCTAATATCTAAAGAGCAGAGAAACATGGATCAGTTACAGACAATTCAAGAATTTTTAGCAACAATTCAGACTTGTCCCACGAAGCAACACTGAAAATATAAGAGAGAGAAAAAAATCTCTAGTCTAACCAAGGGGTATTGGCGCCTCTTGTTCCCTAGAGTACATCAGCAACATGATTCGGAAAGGACTATCATAGCTCCAACCAGAGATCAACAATTATATTGCAATAACATAATTGCCAATTGCAAATGGGCATCATGCCTTTACTGCATTGAATGAATAGGTATGCAGCATCTTAAACATGTCCATGCAAGGTTTAAATCAAAAGGTTATACAATACATAATCTATATATTGACTTAACATCAAATCATTCTAATTGCCAACAGGAAATGAAGAAAATGTGATCCTAACAAACAAGAAAAGCCAGCGGCTACAAAATTTAAAACAGCTCAGGAAGAACGGCAATTGAGCCTCATGAAAAATATCTTATAAGCATTAAACCAGGGAAAACAAAGAAGAAATTTTCTACGAGATACACTACATCAACATATGAGTTACATGTTCCTGAGAATTAATGGTTAAACACAAGTTCTATCTAAACCCCACCCCCTTCCAAAAAAAAAAAAAAAAAAAAGAAAGGTTAGAAAAAATAAATAAATTGAAAAGGCAAAAGCAGGTTCAGACCTAGTCACAATCTATGTCAATTAAAATGAGGAAGTTAGGTTCTGCCCAAGCTAGGGCAGATTGGAGTTCAGGAAATCCTAAGCCTAAACTCACTCAGATACAGCACTATGTAGCCAATAGAAGTTTAAAAGTGCATCAAAGTTGATAAAAATGTCAACCAGAAAAACAACTTTCATGAAGGAGAAACATTTGGGCATTTAGAATTATTCAACTAAACTAGAATTTAGTCACAAAACCTGTGCAATTGTGATGCCCCAAAGAATTATGCACGAACCTGTTTTCTGGAACCTCTGCCCCCTTGTAACTTGATGCTTTATCCACGAATGCTTGCATGGCATTTGCCATTTCACCAAGATCAAAATCATCAAAATTAGTACTGGATGAAGGACCAGCATCTGGTGGCTCCTTTGACATCTGTTTCTTTTTATGTTTTGCGTTGTACAGATCCATCTCCTTTTGTCTCTCTTGTAGAGCAGCATTCAACTCATCTTCTCCCTTGTAGAGCCAAGAATCATCATCAGAAGGTGGAACCTCCTGGCACCTAAAATCATCAGCTGAATGTGGTAAAGCAAGAATTTCATCAATCCGTCTCACTGGAGCACTCATCATTTGACTGCGATAGCAACATCATTTCATCATTAGTACTAACTAAACAACAGAGGCCAAAGAAAACAACTCTTCATCTGTATGACATCAAATAGTACAGCTGAATGAATCAGGTTTATTTTGCACAACTCAAAGGACAACGGGTTTCCAACAGCCATTAAAACAGTGATACTGTGGCATCCGCATCCCATATTTGCAAATCTGAAGGCAATTATGAAAACGAGATGCGATGGTGGAAGCATGGCATTTCAACAAACTGCAACAAGTAACAATTTTCCTACATAACTAGCAGATGGAAACTAGTGTCTAACAATTCGTGAATCTTCCAGCATTGCTGGTGTAGATAGCCAGTTCAGCAATTTATTTTGAGTTTGACCACCTTCCAGAAAACAAACCATGTACTAGAAAGTCTTGCATTGACAAGAAAAACAAATACCTGGTCTTCGAAAACAGGTTACTATTTCGGTAATACTCCTCTGCATTCTCCATCAACCTCTTGTAATCCTTTGAACCTGGCAAAATTCCTTCAAAATACCCACTTCTCTCCAAGCTCTCCTTATACTTATGCCACGCGCTCCCTTTGCCCTCCTCTCCTTCCCTCCTCCTCTGTTGATACATCATCTCGAACCCACATGCAATCTTCATCCCTAATTCCGCCTCTACATACGCATCCACATCAGCTCCTCTACTTGGCATAGGATAGCACTTGGGTGCCTGAAACTTTTGCTGCATTAACTGTGCATACATAGCTCTAGACATCTTTACCACCACAGAAACCAGCTCCTCCTCCTTCCCTTTACTCAAAAACTTCTCCATTTTTGCTGCATACTTCATTGTATCAATATCTCTATCATAAAACCCCTCCACCGCTAAAGAAATCAAGCACGGCTCGCGCTTTAAAACCCGTGCCACCGATACCGGAACCCTAACTCTAACTTGATGCATATTTCGTCTTGCTCTTTCTGGATAATCAGAAATTCGAGCCTTCAGAGCAATTTGAACAGACTCCGTTGCGCGAGACTCGCTCTCACTATCTATCAAAAATTTCAAGGAATCGATCAACTTCGGGTGGGGTAACCGGCTTTTCGGAACTATATGAAGATCACCGCAGCGAATAAACACACGGTTAGCACTGGTCTCGGGGTTAATCCAACGAGGGAGGTGAAAGGCAGCTTCAATGAGTAGGAATTCACCGTCGTTGTCCCAGACTCGAATGGAGAGAGAAGGGAAGTGAGCAGAGATTTGAAAGAGAAGGAAGACAGTGAACCATTCATCTTCAATGTTGTCACCAAAGCGGAGCTTGCCGTGGAGGTGAGGGGGAGGGGGAGAAACAGAGGAGGATAGGGAGAGAGAAAAGGGTTCGTGCTGCCAGACGTAAGAGGAGGTGTAAGGAGAAATAAAGTCAAGGATTTGGAGGTGGAGGGATTGGAGTAAAAGTGAATGGGAGGAACCGGAGGGAGTAGAGAGGGAGGAGTCAGGGAAGATTGCATAGCAAACAGTGTCTTCTGGGACGCGGGAGTGTGCTTGCGGCCTCACCGACTGGTCAGCCATTTCGATAATTTGTGTGAATCAATTTCTGAAATGCAGCACCAGCATAGCCGAAATATACACTTAGTCAGGCGGTGGAAGGGATGAAAGGGAGCAAAGAGGTAGAACTTAACAGAACTTTCTGGGGCCTGTTCATTTTCCTGAACTGAACTGGGTGAATATCGAGAGGCAGAGACGGAGCCCAATGGGCCGATTCATGGCCGAATGTAAACATGCGGAGGGGTTCAATCTGCGATGGGACTTGCTTTGGGCTACTTTGGGAGATTCAAGTCATTCCAACTTACCTCTCCAAGAGAGATTATTTGCATTTTGTTTTCTAACGCTTTTTAGGATGTCGCTAGATTGACATAGAGAGGTTAGTCAATGAACTTGCATAAAGGGGAGTGAACATATTGTTGCTAGTTTTATTTCTTTTGCAGTTCAGTAAATGTACTGGTGTGAAAGTCAGATAACTCATGGGTTGCTAAGATGTGTATAGGCTTGTTTTTGGCCCAGCAACAAACATCATTATTTTGTTGGCAAGCCTTCTGTTTTGTCAAATATGTCTGTTGGCAGACCAATGCATGTATTTTTAAAAGGTTCAGAGGAGAGCTGAATGTTGGAAACTAATTATAATAGGTTTCGTGAAATAATTTAATCATGTTTGAGTAGAATTGTTGTTCAAGATTTGCAAAAGCAATTGAAATAACTGAAAGAGTAAATAAATATTTATATTTATGCATAAACACGACACAAATGATGATATAAAGTATGTTGCAAATCGAAAGAAAGACAGATGATGCAGGCACCCACAGAAACACACATACATAAACATATATTAATAAGTAAATACATCTAGGTTTTTAAAGTTATGCTTGCAAATATATATATATATATTTTTTTTTTTTTTTTTTTCCAAAACAAAAACAGCGAAAGAACTAGTACTAAGGCATTAAGATTGTCAAAAAAAGTAATTCAAGACAATCATTGCATTAATATAACAAAGGTTTATACAATAATACAATCAATATTCGGTGTTTTAATATATCAAAAAAGTTAAGAAGTTTGAAACTTAAGCTCACGACCTTCGATTATGGGCCATTTTCTTTAGAGTCTACGGCTTGTTTTCTGCATTAGTTGCACTGTAATATTAATTTAATAAGTTATATAAAAGATGTGTAATGACTGAATTCTAATATCATGATGGTGTTATTACTTATGTTTTTTTTTTTTTTTTTAACGTAGATTGCTAGCAGACTTCTGTCCTACAGCTTTGCTATAAAATTGCTACTTGTTTGAACCGTGTTAGGACCGCCTTTGTCAAACAATTTTCTATTGGTAACTATTTTGATTAACAAAAGGTAGATATATGCATCACAAATATTTATCTTTTTATGTCACTTGTGTTAAGTTTTCCTTTTGGTTGGAGGATGACTCAAAGGTTTGCCTACATAAGCTCAAATCTTAGAACCCATATAGAGGAGGAATTTTTAACTTGAAGGATAATTTTGATATTTTCAAATAAACTCTCTCTTTTCTTTTATTCTGAAATCATATTAAGGAAGAAGGAAGAGAGAAAAAGAAAAGAAAAAGAGCAAGAGCTGCAGTTTTAAAAAGAAAGAGGAAAGAAAATTTTAACACAAACCAGTCACGTATAAATTGAGTTTCTGGGTTCGTTAACCGTTAGACCGAGCTCAAATTTGGTGGGCACGTTCAAGAGAGACAGATGCACATTCTGAACGGTGGAGATCTGGTTGTCAGTCTTGAAGAGTGAGATATAATGCTCGCAATAGTGTTATTTTCTGATGAAATCTGAACTTGGTTTCTTCTTTTTCTTTGTATATCATCCACTGATGTGATTTGCCAAGGCTATACAACCTTTGGTGTTTGTGGCTGATATATTCCTCTAGTTTAATCTAGAGAGGAATCCTTATATTGTCCATTATTGTTGATAGTGAAAGTTATTATGGACTTTAGTCCAATGGTTTTTCTCTTCTCAAATTGAATAGGTTTTTCACATAAAATTTGTGTGTTCCTTGTGTGATTGGTATTTTATTTTTTAGATTATTAGTTATTTATTTTGATTTGGGTATTTGGTTATAACCTGTATTTGATTATTCAAGTAAGGACAAAGAGGTTTCGTTGTGTTATTTGTGTTTCTTTGCCCAACAACTTGTACCTAACATTGATGGAAAGCAAATGATAACTAAAAATTCATTTGAAAAAATATATACTTTCATGATACTTAGATGATTATAATTTATTATTGATTTATAATTAAGATTTTTTTTTCAATAGGATCATCTAGTATATAACTTCTAATTATCAAGTTAAAAATAATTGTAAACTTCAAATTAATTATAAAATATTTTTTAATTCTATAAAAAACCATGCAACTCACAAATATGTATAAATAAATAAAAATAAACTATAGAAAACCAAAACAACTTTAAAATTATATATAATTAAGAATTTTAAAGTTGTTTTGGTTTTCTATAGTTTATTTTTATTTATTTACACATATTTGTGAATTGCATTGTTTTTTACATATAGTAATTACAAATCAAACAATTTACAAACAATTAAAAATGATAAATTAAATATAATTCAAATATTTAAAAATTAATGTTTTTCGATCTTTTGTTTTTTTGATGTGGAAATGTCTTCAATTACATGAAATAGAAAGAAAATTCTTCTCTCTTTTAATTAAAAAAGAAAAGGTCTTAAGGGCTATCATTTTCCGACGGTATTTAGTACTTACATTATATACATATCCAAAAGAAATATTTATTTCTATATCTAGTTCTAGTATAGGGAATTACAAAATTGGCCCTCCATCTCGTGCCATCAAGACTTCTTGTATCATGTGTTTTGGGGGGTCATTTTGTGTTAGAGATTATTATAAATTATATTATGGGACCTCACCCGAGTTCAAGTCTCACTATTCTTAATTTCTTAAGTATTATGCATAAAGAAATATGAACTCGTGCAAGTTTCAAGCCCAAATGTTGAGGCTTTCACTTGAGGGAGTGTGTTAGAGATTATTATAAATTATATTATGAGCCCCCTATCGGTTTAAGCTTTTAGGTGAGATGGTTCTTTAATATTTTGTAAACAAACAAAAATTCTACAATAATTACCTAAATTTTAATATGTTGATATTATTTCCCCCTACTTAACCCCACTTTCTACTACATGGATGTGGGAGTAAGATTGAGTGGTAAATGGTAATTTACATTTTAAGTAAAGAACTAAAAGAAGATGAAGATTTACTCATTGTTACCTAATGGAAATAAATGTTGAAAACTTCATTTCTTGTTCATCTTTTGAAAAGTCCGTCAAGAAGCTAGATAGAAAAATTCACCATCATAATGCATACTCATTTGTGCATAGCAAGCAAACCATTGCAAGAGAAAATATAAGCAATTTAATGCATCATAAACTTTCAGCAAAAAAAGTTAGCATACAATTGGTTCAATCAACGCCTCATTATCGATCACTTTGGCATGTGATCGGCGAATTTGGATACAACTCAAACAATTAAAATAAAACTAACTTTTTCTGTTCACATGCTCTACACATTTTACTATTTATTTACTCGTTCACTCTTTTTAAAATAACTATTCATTTATTGTTAGCATAAAAAAATGCTAATTGTGATCTTTTCTTTTTAAATAATGTTTTTTTGTTTGAAATTTCATTTTTCATTTGTTTTGGTCTTTGAATCCTAAAAGAAGAGAGAAAGGAGGAAGGGAGAAGGGAGGAGAGAGAGAAATGACCAATGAGATCCATTTTGGCCACTCCAACAGTTGATTTTACCACTACTTTATTCGTCTCGAAGAGTAGAATCCGTTTGTAGTAGTGGTAAACCATAAAATAGTTGAAAGAAGTAGATCGAAGCTTGAAATATTTTAAATTTTTTTTATTTTGAATTGAATTTTTGTGTGAATTAAAATAAATTTTGAGGTTTTAGATGAGTTTTTTATATTATTTTAGTGATTTAGGTGTTTTTAGAAAGAAAAAAACGAGAGAGACTAAATTTGGTTTTGAGCGATCGAAAATAATAAAACCAACTTTTTAATGTCTTTTTTTCAGCGAAATCAATCACCGAAAAATGTAGAAGTCGTCGAAAATGAAGACGGATCTTTTTTTTTTTTTTTTTTGCCGAGCCTAGACGTGAGGGCTTTTTCCTTTTTTTTTTTTTTCTTTTCTTTAATTTTTTTTCTTTGTTTTATTTTTTAATTAATATTTTTAGGAAAATATTATGGAATATATAACGTTATTATTTGTGTTTTTCACGCGAGTGTCGAAGATAATATATATTAGATTATATTACCCTTATTATATAAAATTTATTCTTCGAATTTGTCATTTTTTAAGAAAATTCTCATCCAATTAATATTTTTAATAAAATTTTATTTACCGATAAATATAATTTATTTTTCTCCATATTTGAATTTTAGAAAAAAATTTAAAACAAAATTGTTTTTTCTCTCTCTTTTTTAAAAATAAAATGATATAATATACATTTTATATTTTTAAATGATAGTTGCTTATATATAATTATTTTAATCTAAAAGGTTAAAAGTGTATTTAAGATAATTTGTCTTAATTCATTAAGTATGTTCAAGATATATAAAAAACTATTGAATCATCGATTTTATTAAAAATTAATTATAGATTTTACGGATAACACAAGCTATTTGCTATAAATATTTTTTAAACATTATAGAATCAATTTATTTGAAATAAAATAGTTTAAATAATTTTAGAAAAACCACCTAATTATTCAAATATATTTTTTTATGCTAACATTATTTATTAGCTTCTAGATAAATAAATATAGATCAAGTGCATATACTTTAAAAAAAATAATCATCTTATCAGCATTAATAAAAGAAAAATTTTATTTTTTATTAGTTAATTTTTATATAACTCTATATATTGATTGTAACTTTATTTTTTGAATACTTTTTTTTATGAAAAATATATTTTTAATTCTTGATTAATATTTTAATTTAAATTATTAGAAGTTTTTATTTTAAAATCTATGCATAAAAAAGAATAATTCATGTTTTTTAAAGTAGAAAATTTATGAAAAAAATGCAATTAAATAAAAAAATTTAAAATTTTAAAATAATTTATTCTCGCTCTATTTATAGCGTAGCGCGAATAATCGACTAGTGTTGATACTAAGGGTTTTTTGGAATGTTGAAGTGAGAGAGGATAAAGGTGATGATATTGTTTTTTGCCATATATTATTTTCTCCTTTTTTCTTTTCTTTTTTGTTGTTCTCATTTTTTTTTTTTTGTCATTGCTAGTTTTATTATTATTTTTTAATTTTCTATTTTTCAGATATTTTTTTAAGTTTTTAAATTTTTTACCACATGATAAATTTATCTGACATGGCATGCCAGTTGATTTTTTTTTTGTTGCAATCTGTCAATTTCGAAAACAAAAAATTAGCAGAATTTCAGTAAGAGGCATCACATTAAAAAAAAAAAAAATTAAAAGTAAAAAAAGAAATTGAATAAAAAATATAAAAATCATATTAAAAAAATAACCTTCGAAATTTCGATGCGAATAATCCTTTAAATATTTTATATGCAACAGCCGCTGCACAAGCATTACCGATTGGCGAGAACTGCCGGTGAAGCCGTGGGCGCGTGATCACGCCTTGAGAGGCCAAAGTAGGGGATCCTCGCAAGAAAAGAGTAACGCGACGTGGCTCCTCTCCTTTAGGATACACACAAAGCACGAAACCGTAGAAGTAAGTGCCAAAACGAAAAAGGCACTCTAACTTGTCCCACCGGGCATCAATAAGACACTGAAGGTTGGGTTCGTTGGATAAACTCCAAAAGTGGAAAATACGTGGCACAACAAATAGGAAAAGTATGGTCCCACCACTTTCTAGTTATCTACCCATTCATATCCTTATCATATCATACACAATCAAGTTCTTCTTCTAGGAGGAAAAAAAAAAAAAAAAAACAAACAAACAAACAAAGCAACGGACTTAAACATCCCGCGGAGACCATATGATAATGAATGCGTGATAAGCACATTATTTTCTCACCTTTTAGTTAAATTCATTTGCATGTTGCTAGCCAGGTACCGATTATTAAAGAAAATAAAAGAAAAGAAATCCCCACTCTCGTATCTCTCCCTCTCTCTCCCCCTTTCTTAAGACGCCCAGAATCAGAGATTCTCTCTCTTTTCTGACAGAAAATAGAAAAAAGCAAAATAACAGAAAACAGAGACACCTTTTTTTTTTTTTTTGGCAGGAGGACGGGGAACAGCAAGCAAATCACATTGATCAATATTTTTTTATTGGTTGTATTTTCAGGTTTAACTTTAATTATTATAGCTAATCTTGGCGATCGCTCAGATAATGCCATGGCTATTTACTTTACAAATTGTTCAATTATTTTATTTGTTTATGTAATTCATGCATGCATGTTCCAAGTTTAAGAAAGAAATAAATTCAATAATTTGGATAATCATTCTTTCACTCTCAAGCATTGTACATCGTCATATATGTATTTATTTATTTTTTATTTATCGATTTTGTTTTTATTGCGACACGATAATTGGAGGCAATAGTTTATAATAATTTGATTGATTGCGTGCGCGACTGGTTCTGTTCAAATTTAATTTAAAAAAGTTATCTTGTTTGGAATGATAAATAGTTACAAAATCAAGCATATTATTGTCACATTATACAACAGTTTGTTTAGAAGGTAATCTTGCAATATTTTTTAGAAGGTAATATTGAATTATAACGATCAGTTTATGATTGCCTGATTCAGGAGAATAGGGAACAAGGTACACCATGCTTGGCAATGGAGTTATTGGAATCCTCTCGGAGTCTGTGAACAAGTGGGAAAGAAGGGTGCCTTTAACCCCATCGCATTGCGCTCGACTTTTGCATAGTGGGAAGTATAAAACTGGAGTGTCTAGGATAATTGTGCAGCCGTCGACGAAGCGTATCCATCATGATGCAATTTATGAGGATGTTGGCTGTGAGATTTCTGATGATTTGTCTGAATGTGGTCTCATTGTGGGAATTAAGCAGCCGAAGGTGATGGGTTCTCTGGTTTCGAAGGGTAACGAGGTTAGGAAGTTTGATTGAATTTGTTTGGTTTCTTGCAGCTGGAGATGGTTCTTCCTGATAGAGCTTATGCCTTCTTCTCTCATACTCACAAGGCTCAGAAAGAAAACATGCCTTTGTTAGATAAGGTATAACTTTGTGTTCATGTCCTTGTTGGCTACCATAAATTGGTGATGATAATTGTGCTCATGGTGACTTCTCTTTGGCTTGTAGGTACTAGCTGAGAGGGTGTCGTTATATGACTATGAACTCATCGTTGGAGACCATGGGAAAAGGTTACTTGCATTTGGGAAATTTGCTGGCAGAGCTGGGTTCATTGATTTCTTGGGTGGATTAGGACAGCGTATGCTCCACTTCCTGGAATTCTTTTTACCGATCTTACACTGTTGATTTGTTAAACTGTTATGCATTTTTATGTCTTGTTTTTGGGAGAGATTGTTTGACCATAAACACAGTTGACTTCTGCACACTTCTTCCCTGTCTCTCCTGGCTTGTTTACGGGAAAGGGTTTTGGAATTACATTTTCCTTCTTGTTCTTTTAGACTTCGGGTTTAAGGAGAATGTTTGTGCGTATTGGTCCTATTTCACTTTTTGATGATGAAGCGATCATCTTGTTCTGCTATGTCCAGCTGGAGTTAATTTTCACCCTTTTGTTTTCATTGCTATAATTTTTCTTCAGGTTATCTAAGTCTTGGGTATTCCACGCCCTTCCTCTCATTGGGTGAAGCTTACATGTATTCATCCTTGGCTGCTGCCAAAGCTGCTGTTATTTCTGTCGGCGAAGAGATCACTACTTTTGGATTACCATCTGGAATCTGTCCTTTGGTATTCATATTCACTGGATCTGGAAATGGTATAGTAAACTGCTACTTTATATTCTATTTTTCAAACATCTATGATGCCCCCTGCCCCCAATAACATCCACCCAACACCCCCCCCCAGCTGATAAATCCAATATATTGTTGCCATCAAAGATGTGGATCATGGTATTCAGTTCAGTCTCTGCACTCTTAGATCACTTAGGATATTTTAATCTGTTCTGAATTATTTTGTATGCTTCTTAATTTGGTTTTCTTGTTTATACAATTGAATAGCTCCACATACGCACAAACTCATTATGTTTATCTCTTGCCCTTTCTTTTTCCGAATAGTTTCTCATGGTGCACAAGAGATATTTAAGCTTCTTCCACACACTTTTGTTGATCCCAGCAGACTTCCAGAACTATTTGCACAAGTAAGTTTTGAGCAACTTTTTGGCAGAGGAAACAACCTGATTAACCGTTTCTAATAAACAGTTTAAGATGAATAGGAACATCTCATCAGAAGCCAGAGAAAGTTCTATAGGCGTCCTCAGTTATGATTTTGTTGTAATTTATTGCCACTATAATTTAAAAATGTTACTACATACTCCTGTTCTTGATTATTGCAATTTTCTCATTTTGTCTCTTTTGCAATTTTTCTTAGAAACATTTCGTTCGCACTCATCTAACTCAAGTTCTTGTCTTTGCATAGGGCAGGGATCTCGGTCCACATTCGAAGGCTTCAAAGAGAGTATTCCAAGTATATGGTTGTGTTGTGACTTGTCAAGACATGGCTGAACACATAGATTCTTCAAAAACATTTGATAAAGTAAGATCCTCCAGTATTTCTGTTTCTGGTTTTGCTGTCTGTCATACTGATTAATTATCTTTTCCCTTGCCAAAGTACTTGATACATTTCTACTTGGTTGTGTGGTGTATTGTTTATATAGTTGATATCCTATCTTAGTGCATATTGCGTTACTGTCAGCCTCATTAGATTTTAGCTGCTCGTTGATTAACTCTTAGCATACAAAGGAAAACCAATTTTCACGTATAGTTGCTTAATTACCTAAAGTGCTAACCAGTTATTAGATTCCTAACTTTCGTGATGCAAATGTGCTTGGTAATTCTTTAAAGCCTTGATGGTCTTTTATCTTCAATTAAGAGTGAGCACATGGTTCCTTTGAATTCATTGGGATTGTATATGTTAAGATAAACTATTCTGACCCTAGATGTTTTCTTTTTGGTGCAGGCAGACTATTATGCGCATCCAGAGCACTACAAGCCCATTTTCCATGAAAAAATAGCCCCATATGCATCTGTTATTGGTATAAGATTTATTTTGCCGTTAAGCTATTGTCATTACTGAGTTCACACAGTAAAGTTTCTGTTATTATACATGAGCTCTTGCTGATGGATTTTCCTAGTTGACCTCGAAATTGTCAAGCCTTTTTAGATTATTAATTTAGAAATAATTTTTGAGTTTGAGCTCCCGACCTATGCTTATCAATTACCCCAATTCGGATCAAGATGTGTTTCTCTGTCCTTTTAGTTATAGAATTCTTGTTTTCTATTTGTAACTGTTTAACTATACTGTATTGCAGTCAATTGCATGTACTGGGAAAAAAGATTTCCTCGGCTGTTGAGTACCCAGCAGCTTCAAGATCTAACGAGGAAAGGATGTCCGCTTATTGGAATTTCTGACATAACTTGTGACATTGAGGGCTCATTAGAGTTCATTAACCAAACAACATCAATTGACTCCCCATTCTTAAGGTATTACGTTTTTAGCTTCTTGTATTTCATGAAATACACTGTATGCCAACTTTTTTCCTGTCCTATGCTTCATTGAATTTTTCCTTGTTTAGTTTGACTGAAATTAGAGATGGTGATGATCGTCCAGGGAGTTCTTTAAGTGTTTTATAACTCTTGTTTGGTGGCATAGCTTCAACTAAGATCTTAAATAACATCAATCTAAGATCCCATTTGGGGGAAATTATGAGATGATGCATAATTAATCATTTTTTAATTCTTAAAACTGATTTTAAAAGCAACTGAGATGAAATCTGGAGAGATGATGGAATCTAACTATAGAAGGTTGGCCATCTATGTTTTTATCTATTATACGCACAAGACAATTGCATTACTTATCTAAGTTTGGCAGGGGGTTGAAGAGGGTTAAATTTTATCCTTGAAAATTTTAAGCTTATTTGGTTTTTTTTCTTGAGGACTTCAATTATTAGGGTTGGGGGTGGGGTGGGTGTAATGAATACCCCCAAACTGGTGTTTTTGGAGGGTAAATATAAATATATGCATTTCTCTCTCTTTTTCTTTTTCTTTTTTTCAAAATACACACCAAATTAATTATTATTTATCTCTCACCAATCATTATTAATAATTTAATTATTTTCTGTCTCTTTCCACTGACATTTAACCCTTCAATTTAGGAATACACCAAAAATCCTTAAAAACCAACTTTTACATCCTTAAAAATTGCTCTTGTAATTATTCACCTTAATTTCTTTAACCTCATACCAAACACCAACTTAAAGGTTGTTTCCAAGATTTGTTGTAATAAAGGAGGGGAACATATAGGAGCAGGGAAGCTATTAAAAAAGAAAGAAAGAAACTGAGAATCTCTTCCCTCCATTTTGAATTTTCACATCAATTATTGAAGATGTGCGAACCCAAAGGACGATAGCACTAAGGAGGAAATTGGCACAAATGACTCACAGAAACTCAAAGTGAAACTTTTCAATAAACTTTCTCCCTAAAGAGAATAGTGTCACTTGTCTGTGCTGATTTCACTTAGAGTGCTTGGATTTTGGTTTTCTACCCAAAGGATGATAGCATTAAGGAGGAAATTGCTCAAATGACTCGCAGAAACTCAAAAGTGAAACTTTTCAATAAACTGTCTCCCTAAAGAGAAATAGTGTCACTTTTCTGTGCTGATTTCATTTATAGTGCTTGGATTTTCGTTTTCTAGTATTTGTAGTTTTCTTCACCAGCTCTATCATACATCCTGGCCAACAATAACTTTCAATTGCTATCTCATTTTTCTTCTGTTGATTATTTGGTTATTATGGTTGTCAGATATGATCCATTAAATGATTCGTATCACCACGACATGGAGGGTGATGGTGTGATATTTTCATCTGTTGACATTCTTCCTACACAGTTTGCAAAAGAGGTTTGTTATTCTGATCCTTGACCTTTAAGCCTGTAATTGTCCCTTTCCCTGAGCAGTAGGTTTAGTTGACTCGCACATTATCTAATCAATGTTTATGGTGACATGTACCAAACCATTAAATCATGGAAAGGCTTCCCAGCATTTTGGAGACATACTATCCCAATTTATTGGCAGTTTGGCTTCAACAATTGACATTACCAAGTTACCTTCACATCTGAGGAAAGCTTGCATAGCCCATGGTGGAGCACTTACCCCCTCGTTTGAATACATTCCACGCATGCGAAACTCTGATTCAGAGTAAGCTTCTGATTCCAATTCATAATTTTTTTTCTTGTCTTCTCATTGACTTTATTTACCTGTGTGGTGAATTACCGAGTACCAGTTTTAGATGTCAACCATATAGATGTACAGATCAAACTTCACAGTTTGAAAACCACCTTCATCCTGTGAAACTTATATAGTTGAAGAAGGGAAGAGGAGGGTGGGGGGTAATATTGAGTTTTAGAGGACCAGTTCTTCTTTTACCAGGCAATAAAATAAAATTGAACAGCAACAAGGTTTCTGCAAACCTTCGGGGTATAGTATCTAAGTAATTGGAATTTGTAATGCATTCAAATGATCCAAGAGAGCTGGAAGCTATTGAATCTATTCAGATGGTATATTGTTTCTTCTGTTCGTAATCACATGAGTGCTTTTTCTTGATGTGCAGAGATATAGCAGAAAGTCTTACAAATTTAAAGTCCACCAGGAATAAGTTCAGTATTTTGGTAAGACATTCAGTTTTGCTTGTGCATTCGTATTCCAGATTCAATATTATTTTGGATCATGCAAATTGTTTTCATAATTTATGCTGGCCAATGAGATTGAGAAAACACAAAGAAAACAAAGTACAGAAGCCAAAGATTCAACCTTATGTTACATCGCTGAAGCCTAACTTTGTTGGGAAAGAAAGCAAAATTTTCGTTGTATCAAAAGGTGGAAGTAAAAAAATGAAAAGGCTTGTCTTTTAGTAATCAAAATCCTCCAAAACTCATGGCACTAAAGAATTTCTCTCTCTATATGTTCTGGTTATAGTCAAAAGAAAAGGTTAGACATTCCTAAATATTGTTGCCAAGGGTGCTGGCATTACAGAGAGATTTGAGTAATGCTATTTCCCAGGGGAAATGCAACAAGTAATAAATTAGCCTAAAAGAGTGAGTAATCAAATCATGGGACCCATGCAGAACTTGGAATTTCCTTGTAATCTATTTTTATTGCTTTTTTTTTTTTTATAATTATTGTAAACTATACTTGTTATAATCGAGACCAACTTAAGCAAGGCTTTCTAACTCTTGGCGATGTGATGCCTCATATGCCAGCGCAATAAAGAGATTAGCCGAACTAGTTAGAAAGATGAATTGACTTCGATAGACTCATTCCAATAAAGCCACACGAAATTATATAGGCCATTGACTTTAATCCTTGGATTCCTTACAACATCTCACTTATGGTTGGCTGCTCTTATGATTATTATTCACAGGTATCTCTGAGTGGACACTTATTTGATATATTTCTAATAAATGAGGCATTAGATATTATTGAAGCTGCTGGTGGCTCCTTCCACTTGGTTAAGTGTCAAGTGGGTCAAAGTACTACTGCTATGTCATACTCTGATCTCGAAGTAAGTTAGACCTCATTTCAATCTGATTCTATTTCTGCAAGAGAAATATCTTGCCACGTTTGGCAACAATTTAAGTTGTTGGCATTTGTTTTTCAGGTCTTATTTATTTTAATACTCTAAGTAAACTTTGATTTATATTTGAATTCGTACAAGAAACAAGTCAACTGTGATCATGAAATACCTATGTCAAAACTGTGTTTATTTGTCAGGAATAACTTTGACAGATAGACACCTTTTGATGTTCTAGTTATTTGTTGATATGCTCAGAAAATTAGTGATTATTTTTATATTCTCATATAATTAAATTTTGAATTGGAAACTTCCTTGAAATTAATAACCATCAGCAACAAACATTGCATATAACCAACATGGGATTTATTCAAACCTCACGGTAAGTTTTCCTATTGCTTTGTACAGGTTGGTGCAGAGGATAAGGCAGTTCTGAATCAAATTATTGATTCTTTAACTTCTCTTGCCAATTCAGATGAAAGTAATGGATTTTTAAATAAAGAAGCAAATAAAATTTCCATCAAGGTTGGTAAAGTCCAGGAGAATGATATTAAGAAGGGAAACGATACAAAAAGGAAGACTGCGGTTCTAATTATTGGTGCAGGTCGCGTCTGTCGACCAGCTGTCGAGTTTTTAACGTCAATTGGAAGCAGTTCATCTCACGAATGGTACAAAGCATGTCTAGATACTGATTTTGAAGAGCAGAATGTAGTTGAAGTTGTTGTTGCTTCTCTTTATCTTAAGGATGTGGAAGAGGTATTATTGAAAAAAAAAGCCTCTGAACTTTACCTTATCAATTTCTGTTGAGAGCATCATGGTTTCAACTTTATGTTACAATGAAAAATTTTTAAAACTCATGGATGTGAATTAGTAGCAATCATAACAATGATGGTGATATCTGTGCATCTATGTATTGATGTTTTACTTAATTCAGATATAAATTGGTGTGCTTGTTATTCTTTTGCATTCAAAAGTTTTAACTTGGTGTGCTTGCTATTATTCTTTTGCATTCAAAATTTTTAACTTGGTGTGCTTGCTGTTCTTTACATTTGAAAGTTTTGATGCAATATTAATTGGTCTGGTGCAGATTATTGATGGAATTTCTAATGCAACGGCAGTTCAGCTTGATGTGATGGATGATGAAAGTCTTTGCAAGTATATTTCACAGGTAAAGTCTTCTTTCTATGCAGCATGTTTCAAAGGTGTATATCATAGGATGCATCAGAAATTGGCTGCACTAGAGCCTGAAAAACAATTTTGTGATGATCAATTCTATCATTCTCAATTTTCTGATACTAGATGAGTGTTGGCTTCTAAGATAACCTAAGAAAAAATAGCATGCACCTATAATGAATGATGCTTTTCCAACTGGAGTACAAGTGCTGGATCATGGTCTTATATTGCAATGTTTTTCTTGCCCTTGTGCAGGTTGAGGTTGTTGTCAGCTTACTCCCCCTAGCTGCCACAGAATCATAGCTAATGCATGCATCAAGGTATTTTACACTATATTTATATTCATTACGTATTGTAGTTCATTCTCTTTGATTTTGATAAGAGATTAAGCGTGATACTAAAATGAGGCTCATCGTACAAGTTATTTGTTTATGATTAGCAAGTTTGTTAAGTGAGTGCATTTACTTGCTGTATATGATTCTGGCAGCCACTGCACTGAATATGTTAAAAATACTGCATATGCTTTTCATTATTTCCTTCTTCTAGCTAAGGACATGACTTGTCTCTTGATTCAGCTTAAAAAGCATCTTGTCACAGCTAGCTACGTTGATGATTCTATGTCATTGCTAGATGGAGAGGCAAAAGCTGCTGATGTTACAATTCTTGGGGAGATGGGCTTGGATCCAGGAATTGGTAATTTCCATTATATAGAAAATTATGCGTTACAATGTTACTATATCTCACATTTTGCTTCATAATGTAAGCTTCCGTGACGTGTTTTTTTTTTTCACTGTGTGGACTAAGTCCCTCTCTGGTTGGGTCTTAAGTAGGCCATCCACACATAGAATAGTGCATTCACAAAAGATTTTTTCTTGCGGCCTTCTGTAGGATTCAAATGATAACACGGAGAGCAAACCCATTTACCAACCACCTAAGCCTTTCAAAGCTAGCTTCTATTACTAAACTCTAAGCACATGAATGACATGTGCCGGTCATCAACTTCCTTTAAAAAATACATAAACACATGGTGGCATATGTATGCATGTAAGTATGTAGGCTAGTTTTCATTCTAGATTTTGCCATACAACCAAACAATGAAGTTTTATGGTTTTATATCCAAAAGGCTGTACGTACTTATTACCAGTTTACAACATCCTTAGCATGATAAAATTATTAATGTAATGTGGAGTCATAATCAGGAGTATCCAGCATCGATTCATTTTGAGACTTCAAAGGACCTTCCGGAAATTTAGAGCATCATTCTGTCCATATTTTTTTGCCATATTTCACTATCATTTCATGCAAACCTTAATGACTTAAACCCTTTTCCAACTTCAACCACGATGATTTATAGTCTTGGATTCAGATTTCTCCTATAAGTTTTAATTTTTTTCATCAAACTGAAGACTTTTTTCCCTTTAAGCTTTCATGTTTTCTTTGTTTTTCTGAATATTAATATCTAAAAAAGATAACTCAACAGATTTTTGAAAACCAAAGTATACTCATGATTGCCTGTTACCTACTTTTGTTTTGCTCTGTGATTTCCCTTTAAGCTTTCATGTTTTCTTTGTATTTATGGATATTAATATCTAAAAATGATAACCCAACAGATTTTTGAAAACCAAAATATACTCATGATTGGCTGTTACCTGCTTTTGTTTTGATCTGTTATTACACATTGTTTTCAGATCATATGATGGCAATGAAGATGATCAACCATGTACATGTTCGGAAGGGGAGAATAAAGTCCTTCACTTCTTATTGTGGAGGACTCCCATCCCCAGCAGCTGCAAATAACCCATTAGCATATAAATTCAGGTGTTTCCTGAAACTTCTTACACTATAAAAACCTAGCTACGTGGCCTGGCTTCCTTGAAAGTTACAGTTTTTGGTGGTTTTCCTTTTCACATTTTTTGCTGGGTATTGGAAATTAAGTTGACTGGCACATCACCATGCAATTGGACAGTACAATTGAGCTTCTATATACTGTGAATTAATCAGAGGGTTCAGGAAAATTAACTACACTATCACAAATCAACACTGATATCAATGACATTTACAATTTCATGGGAATTAATAACTGTTAACTAAAAAGAATTGTTCTTTTAAATATGAGCTATATTTTTGTATTGATCACACTTGAAGTACGCTTCGCTTGCCCTTTTTAAGATGATAAATAATGATGTACTTACCAAACTATAGGGTTAGAATGTCTTTAGTGTGGTTTTGCAAGTTTTTTGTTGATATTCCAATTTGTTTGGATATTGTTGGGTACCTTCATGACTTTTCTGGATCGCTACATTTTCTTAAAGAACCAAGATTCTCTATTTTCTTGTGATTTGGCCTGTAAAATGTAGTTGCTCTTGTTAATGGTTACTGTATATGCAACTACGTCTAACAATAGTAACAGAAGGGAAAAGAGAATGAGAAGAATATGCAAAGCTCGTTCTGTAGCCTAAAGGTTCTTGTAACCATATTTATTTGTCTTTGAGCTGACAGTTTCAGCAACTATTAAATTATCAACTTCTTTCATGTTTCCTTTGCCACTCTGGTAAAATTGTTTTCTGTAACAACTAAGTATTGGATTCTTCACTGAATAAGTACCTTTAATATGAACAGACAGTTGGATTCTTGACCATTTTATATACTAGACAATCCAGAATCTGTTCAGCTGTTCTTCCCTTTACTTTGACGACCTCCTCATCTCTTGTATAGTTGATTTCCTTATTTCTCCCCACTGTTGGTTCATGATCACACGTCATATATTCTTCTTATTGTCATAGTTTCTGAGTGCAAATTAGGAACGAACATTCATTAAATGTTCTCTTATAGATGAATTTTAAAGGTTGTTTGACATTTCCCTGGATTTTTTTTTTCAGTAATTCTAACTTAAAATGGGTTGATGGCAGTTACTGACCTTTTTAGTTGTTCAGCTGGAGTCCTGCAGGAGCCATCCGAGCTGGGCGCAATCCTGCCACCTATAAATCTCATGGTGAAATTGTACATGTTGATGGTAAGCAGTCTGGAATCAGGGAAATTTATTGATCCAAGTTGTAGGATATTTATCTTTCTTGTTTCTTATTATAGACTAGAGATCAAATAATTCTTATGTCTGCAAGAAAAATCGTGCTTGATCTTTATCATGAAAATTCATCTAGTTTAATTACGTGTTATTAACTACATGTTCAAAATTTCATCTCATCTCATACTGATCAATGTTATCGCTGGCTACTAACAATAATAGAAGGCTATATGATTGCACAAAGGATCAGTTTTTAATCTCTCAAGGATCTTGCTTTTCTGATTTGTTTTTCACTTTATTGTTCGAACTTGCAGGTGAGAAACTTTATGATTCAGCAGTCAGATTTCGGATACCGAATCTTCCAGCTTTTGCATTAGAATGTCTTCCAAATCGCAATTCTTTAGTTTATGGCAAACTGTATGGCATAGAAGATGAAGCATCCACCATCTTTCGTGGAACACTCCGCTATGAAGGTATAACATGCACACCTTTGGCTTCTCGAATACGTATTATTTTAGTCCAGCACTAAGAAAATTTAATTGCTAAAAATTATTTTCAGTAGATTGAAACACTGGGGATTTGGTAAACTTTGTAAACTCAGAGGAACTAAATCCCACATCTTTTTTTTATTTCTTTTGTCATAGCTGAAAATGGAAGTGCTTTTCTTTTCTCCCTCTAGTTCAACACACAGTCTTGGCTTCCTGTTCTCTGAAATACTTTATTTCCTCAGAAAAGGGGGAAAAGGAACTTTATATGTACGTTTCTAGAACTTATTTGCTGATTATATGTGTAGGATTTGGTGAAATAATGGGGACACTTGCAAGAATTGGTCTATTTAGTACCGAATCTCATCTAGCTTTAAGACATGGACAGAGACTCTCATTCAAAAGATTCCTTTGTGAGCTGCTAAACATTGTTAGCGAAAATCATGATGGAGTTCTGCTAGGAGAGAAGGAAATTAGTGAGAGAATCGTTGCACTTGGGCATTGCAAAGAGCAAGGAACTGCAGTAAGGACTGCCAAAACCATTATGTAAGTTATCATAATCTGCTGAAGAAATTAACAATGCATAACTTGGGGCTGAGATTCTTAGTACATTGTGAATGGCCCCAATTGTATAAACCTATTCCAATCAGTAGTAATTTTCTTCATTATCAATTTCTTTGCATTCTATGACCTATTCATATCAAGTAGCTAAAATTGTTCTACCCGTGGACTAGATATTTAGGACTTCATGAGCAGACAGAGATTCCTGTCTCCTGCCGAAGTTCATTTGATGTTACCTGTTACTGCATGGAAGAAAGGTTGACCTATTCCAACACAGAACAGGTACAAAACTTGTAGTAAATAACATACACAGCATCATATCATTCAGTTTTTTGGAGGTTCAATGATTCTTCAATCTAGGCAAAAAATTAATAATGCCCACGTGTCTAATTTACGGCCAGGATATGGTGCTTTTGCATCATGAAATGGAGGTAGAATTCCCTGACAACCAAGCTACAGAGAACCATAGGGGCACGCTATTAGAATTTGGAAGGACTGAGAATGGGAAAACAACCACTGCCATGGCTCTCACTGTTGGTGTTCCAGTAGCCATTGGAGCTCTGGTAATTGGTTTGCTTCGTTGCTCCCACACTGTTATTTTTATTTCCATTATTTTTCAGGAAATGCTTTAAATAAGACTATGATTTCAATTTGCCACAGCTCTTGTTAGAGAACAAGATCAATACAAGAGGTGTCTTACGGCCGTTTGAACCTGAAGTATATGTACCAGGTAACTGAAAATCCACTCCTCTCCGGTTATGGTGTTGCAGAGAAGATATAACATTGAAATATATATTTGAATGATGATATGCTTGGACTTTTGTGGTCTTGCAGCGTTGGATATCTTACAAGCGTATGGCATCAAGGTGATGGAGAAGGTTGAGTGACCTGAGACTGTTCGGTGCATCGCTGGTTTTTTTCTTCCCTGTACAAATGTTGAATGAAAATTGTAAGATTATATAACCAGACAGATCATGATATGATTATGATGCTATGAAACTAAATGATTTGTTCAAGACAAATCAAGTGTACGTAATTGTTGAGATTACAAAACTTGTAGCTTATGGATCACAGAAATGGATGTCTCATTATAAGTTTCCAAAACCAATCAGATATGGAGATGGTTACCACGTTATGCAACCATGTGATTCTTTTCCATGTAAATTTAGTTAGTGAATTTGATGAAATTAGAAGATATGCTCTTTTTTAAAACACACTGGTCAAGTTAGTGAATTTGGTGATTTTTTTTTCTTTTTCTTTTTAAAGGTTGAGAAGAAAGAAGAAGAAGAGATGTTGGTGTGTTGGTAACAACTAACAAATCAATTGATTTTCGTGCAGAAAGAGAAGATATATGGATTATTTTAGAGCGTAAAATTCCAAAAAAGAAAAATAATTGAACATTTGACGTTATTATTTTCTCTAGCAATTAACATAATCGATTATATTTTAAATAATAAAATTATAATTTGTTGTTATTATTTTCTCTAGGGATTAAGACTAACATGCATGACAACTGTCAATACATTAAACATTTGACGTTATATAATTTGTCATAATTGATTTCTCTAGATCCTTGTCTAATCAGGTTTCCAAATCTATTTTAGTTTTATTACATAGAAAATTAAATGCACTTCAGTACTAGGAATCAAATATTTCATAAACACATGGAGGATCGAGTTCCCCCTAAACGAAAATCCAATTGATCCTCTTCAAGGGCCATGGTAAATGCATGTACATGAGGTGAAATTGAGACAAATGAGAATGTGAACTGGTCAGGTGCACTGATTAGACTATGTGGGCCGGGATCCAAGTTTGAATTGTTGCAACCTTAGAAACTTTCTGGCTGAAACTGACGAGAACGTCAATGAGATGGATGAGTTTTGGTTGAAAGCTTATGAGAATGTCAAAATGTAAGAGTGAGAGAATAACAAAATGGCAAGATAAAAAGATTTGTACCATGCCATTTCAGCCTGGACATAAGAGTTCTGCTGTATAACTCTCGGCTGAGATTGTTTCCAAAAAAGTTAAGATGAAGATGGGTGGATCCCTTTCTAGTGACGATTGTGTATCCACATGCATGGAGTTGTGTTTCCAAAATTTGCTTGTAAGTGTTGGATTCTTTTTGATGACCATATGATAAGATTTTTATTGATATTGAATATGACGATTTAGAGAAAAGGATGAGTGGTAAGCTCAGAAATGTAAGTGCTAAGTGCTTAGGGTCATCAACCACAATGGGTACGTTTTTTCATAAAATCAATGAAAGTGTAAACTTCATTCATCCTACTCATTACTATTTATTGAGAGCAAAAAGAGAGCCACTTATTTGTTTTGACTAGACCTCACATCTTACTTACTTTAGAAATTGCACCACAAAAATAAAAATAAAAGAACTTATAATGTTGTTGTAGTCTTTACATATTATTAGATTAGACAATTATGAGCAAAAACTTAATAACAATTATAAACAGTAGTAGTAGGATGCGACAAAAACTTAACAATCAAACGATGGACTAGTTTCGCAAACAGTACCGAATTCGATATTTATATATATTTTTTTTTTGCCTTCAGCTGCTGTTACCTTCCAGCGTTGGATTTTGCTGAGAATTGCTACGGTTAGAACCGAGTCCATTTCTAGACTTCCCAAAATGCAGTCGAATCGAGATTGGATAATTCGGGCTTTCCGAATTTCTAGAATAACATTTTGATTCGGAAACTTTTCGGTGATAAAAAATATCGGGTCGGAAAAACGTAATAAACATTCGCAAAATTTACCGAAATGTCACTCTTTCATTAGAATTTTCCGTACGCTCAGCCCTAGTCCTTGCTCCATTGCACATCCCATCCATCGCAGAAACAAACTCCGTCATGGCTCCCAAAGCGAAAGGCAAAACGACGGCGTCGCAGCAGCCTCCCCTCCAATTGAAGATCTATTCACTAATCTCAATCGACAGATCGAGCGATCTGAGTTCGAGCAAGCCGTCAAAGTCGCCGATCAAGGTACTTATTCTCCTGGATTTTATTTATGTATACTTATTTTGATATTAATTTTTGTTAATTTTATCGCAGTTCTGAAAGTCGCTCCAAACGATGAAGACGCGATTCGATGCAAAGTGGTGGCTTTGATAAAGTGTGATAGCATTGACAAAGCTCTTTCAGCCATCCACTCTGCTCAAAGGCAAAACCTTCCTTTTGATTTCACTTACTTCAAGGTAAATTTGCTGATTATTGATAAATTATGAAAAAAAAATAAAAATGTTATTTTTTATTTTATTTTTTTAGGAATATTTTACTTTCTGTTTCTGTTTGCTTGCATCTTGAATAAACTATAATTGATGGTTTTTTTTTTAATCAGAGTGACGGAGAAGTAATTTTGGTTGTTTTGTTTGGATAACTTTTTTCCCCCTACTTTTTCCTAATGCAATTTAGGATTTTTGAGTTTCGTTCCTAAACAACACGCACATGAATCAATATAATTATTTGATATGTCCTTTCTGGTGTGTTTTCGTTTTTAATTTTGAAATAGGCATACTGCTTATACCGACAAAACAAGTTGGATGAAGCATTGGAGTTGTTGAATGGTCTCGAGAGAAATTCAGAAACAATGTTGCTAGAATCTCAGATTCTATTTCGTCTAGGAAAAATGGATGCTTGTGTTGATGTCTATCAAAAGCTTCAAAAATCCAAGATTGATTCCTTAGAAATAAATCTTGTTGCTGGCTTGATTTTGGCTGGGAAGTCTTCTCAAGTTCAGGGAATGATGGAGGCAAATCGGATTAAAGCATCTTCCAGTTTTGAGTTGGCATACAACACTGCTTGTTCTTTGATTGAGAGGAATAAATACACTGATGCAGAACAGCTTTTGCTTACAGCCCGAAGGTGACATGCACTTCTTTGCTCTTTCTAGCTATTGATTTTATGGAAATATTCGATGGTACTCCAATTTCATTATTATGAATTCCAAGCATTTTTGCATGGATGGCTTGCATTATTCTCTTGCGTTAGTAAGTATATGCTTTTCTAAGTGTCATCAATGTGAGTGGATTAATTGTTGTGTGCTGAATACTGGATGACATGCATAAGCTTGTCAAAATCTTATATTCCTTTATGCTTGTGTTTTTATGTTAGATATGATGCTTTTGTTTGTTCTTGGCAAGGTACAGTTTGGGATGCTTGCGTACTTTTGTTCTTATTGAAATTTTTCTATGCTTAAGTAGTCTCTTTTTGAAGTGTGAACAATAAATTTCTCCACGGAATTGAGGGTTATGGTCTCACTGAAACCTAATGTATGCCTTCTGATATTTTGGACAGAATTGGTCAGGAAACACTGATGGATGACAATTTGGCTGAGGATGACATAGATATTGAATTGGCTCCTATAGCTGTGCAGCTGGCATACGTTCAACTAGTAAGATAATGATATCATGTGAATGGTTTGCCATTAACTATTTTTGTAGCAAGGCAGTTTCTTTCTTTATTTATTTCTCCGAATAGTAAAGAATGAAGAAAGCTTGTTTCATCAGCTCTTAGGACGTTCACCAGAGGCCATGGAAGGTTACGCAGAAATCATTAATCGAAATTTGGCAGATGAATCATCCTTTGCAGTTGCTGTGAACAATCTTGTTGCTTTGAAAGGTTCAAAAGATGTTTCTGATAACCTGAGAAAACTCGATCGGTTAAAAGAACAAGATGCACAGAGTTTCCAGCTTGGTCGTGGACTTGACAAACTTTCTCCAAAACAGAAGGAAGCAATATATGCAAACCGAGTGCTTTTGCTTCTGCACGCAAATAAGATGGATCAGGTGTGCTGTTTGGCTTTTTGCATTCCATATTTTTTTTATTTACCCTGCTTTCTGGTATTATACGGGTGGCAGGATCCTCTGCATGTGTAGATAATGTCTGTTTATTGCCAATATTTAACAGGCACGAGAACTTGTCGCTGCTCTGCTTGACATGTTTGCTGACAGTGTACTGCCAGTGCTGCTTCAAGCTGCAGTCTTTGTCAGAGAGAACAAGGCTGCTAAAGCTGAAGAAATACTGGGCCAGTTTGCTGAGAAGTTCCCTGACAAGTCTAGGGTCATTCTTCTTGCAAGGGCACAAGTTGCTGCTGCTGCTGGCCATCCCCAAATTGCGGCTGACTCCCTATCTAAGATACATGACATTCAGCACATGCCTGCTACTGTTGCAACTCTAGTTGCTCTTAAAGAGCGTGCTGGAGATGTTGATGGTGCATCCGCTGTACTTGACTCTGCAATCAAATGGTGGTCGAATGCAATGACTGAGGACAACAAGCTGAATGTTATAATGCAAGAGGCCGCTTCCTTCAAGGTCAGGCATGGCAGGGAGGAAGATGCTGCGCACCTATATGAGGAGCTTGTCAGAAGCCGGGGGAGCATAGAGGCGTTGGTTGGGCTGGTAAATACAGTTGCCTGGGTGGATGTTGACAAGGCAGAAGCCTATGAGAAGAAGCTGAAACCATTGCCAGGTCTGAAGGGGATTGATGTGGAGAGTTTGGAGAAGACTTCTGGGGCGAAGCATGTTGAAGGTGCTTCTGTTGCCGTTACTGATGCACATGAGGAGGGTAAGAAGGAGAAGCCAAAGAAAAAGAGAAAGAGAAAGCCAAGGTATCCGAAAGGGTTTGATCCTGCTAATCCAGGCCCTCCTCCAGATCCAGAAAGGTGGCTCCCGAGGAGGGAGAGATCGAGTTATAGGCCCAAGAGAAAGGATAAGAGGGCAGCTCAAGTGAGAGGCTCTCAGGGTGCTGTGGTGAGAGAAAAACATGAAGCTGGTGCCACTTCTACTAGTTCCAACACATCGAATTCAAAATCAAGCCAACCTACAACTTCTAAAGTAGCTGCAGAACAATCCAAGCCATCATCAAAGTCATCAAGAAAGAAGTCAAGGAACTAACTGGGAAAGAATCACTTAACCCTCCTCCCATAGCCAACCCAGGGTGGCCAGAAAAGTTCAGAAGAAATAGAAAAGAAAGGGGGAAAGAACTGTAGCGTTTTGGTTACGAGAGTTTCGAATTGTTTCTCATTATTGTTTTAGCCATCTTCACTTAAATTGAGATTTTGGTTATTTATATTTGGCCTATGCTCTCTGCGGGATTCAATTTGACGGACTCGGAACATCGAGGAATTTTGTTATACACTGGGTTCAATCTGAAATTTTGAAAGTTGAGTACGTGTGTCCTACCCTCCCTCCCCCTCTTCTTTTTTTAACTAAAAACAATTTGGTTTTGTGAAATGTACCGGTTGCATTGATTCGTGTTTCAGCTGTTGTTATTTTGTAACGAGTGGACGCTTATTTGATCAATTTCTAATGGAAAGAGGCATCAACATAGACCTTCTCGGCTCCCAGGTCACCTGAAATTCTATGCATCCTCAAACGCATTAGAAAAACGAAAAAGAAGTGTATGTTACATGGTTTTATAACTTACTAGTTCAATACAACCTTGTTGCCGTGAGTAAGTCTATGTTTTAGTATTTTAAATAATTCAAAAATATAAACATGGAATAAAAATTAATTAACACTAATTGTAAAAATTAATTTAATTTAATATTTATTATGCAATATATATATATATATATATATATATATATATATATATATATATATATATATATTGCATAATAAATATTAAATTAAATTAATTTTTACAATTAGTGTTAATTAATTTTTATTCCATGTTTATATTTTTGAATTATTTAAAATATATATATATATATATAATTGAGTTTAAATGTATCTTAAGAATATTTTTTATTTTGATAAAGAAAAAAATGCATTTATTTATCAAATTAGAAGGTGTTTAATTAATTTATATTAGAAGAATGTTTAAATTTAGTTAATGAGTCTTTACAAGAATAAAAAAAGTAACCATTAATTATGGAAAAAAAATTATTTTGAGTAAATAATAAATAATGAAAAAATAAACCTAATCCCAATAAAAAAAGTCTAGGGACTTGTTTGTAATACTAATTAGCATCGGGGATTGTTTTATATAAACTAATAACTTAGATGATCAAAGTATAAATAATCAGATAAATTGATAAAAAAAATCACTTTATTTTAGAAAATGACATCGTTTTGAGTCTACAAAACCCAAAACGATACCGTTTTGGTTTCATTATAACATGGGTTTAACTATAATGAAACACCTTTTGGTTTTAGTATATAGTATAATCCCCTTATTATTAGGACAACTTTCAGCAAAATAATAGAGACATTTAAGAATTGGTGTATTTAGTACTGAATTTAAGCCAATCCTAGAGACCCTCGTTCTAAACATTCTCTCAAAGCTGCCGCACTCTGAATCTGCTTAAGAAATATAAAATTACCTAGGATCCTAAGTATAATGGAAATGACAAACCTATTAACAAACTAATAATTTGTATTATTCTTAATTCATTCGCTTTGGATATGGTCCTTAGTCTCGCTGTGACATAATGATGGAGCGAACACAAATTCTTATCTCCTGCCAAATTGCTTTGATGTTCCCTATTCCTACACAAAAGATCATCACAAAAAAGGTAGGATCCTTATAGTATATAATATGCACAAATTCGGGTTGCTATGTCGCAAAGGAATGCCAATCTGAATTCCAAGAATATTTTTTCTCTCCTGGAGAGAGTTTCTTCATTTCTTAGGAAGTCGCTCCCAATGTTGTTGTAGGCTTCCCCTATGAGGGAAACCCCATCCTCCCAACAACCACTATTGCCATCCCCCCAGCCCCCTCCCCATTCCATCTTCTTCTTTACAGATTCCCGCACAAATCATACTAGCATTAAAAACCCTAATTTATCTTATGTAGTCGCCACTGCAAACAAATCAGTCTCTTTGCTTTCTTCCTTCCCAACCATCACCATTAATCCTAAACCACCATCCACATATGAGAGACCTCTAGCAATTGAGCTTTCTTTTATGATTTGCACCAATCAACCAATTTTTTTTAATAGTTTTCCTTACTAGCTAAATTCTCAAAGGGTCATCCTCTTATCAATACAAGTAAAAGCCTATATCCAAATGCATTGGGGATTAAAGGATTCTCCAATGGTTGGCTTGATAGATGCTTGTCATGTCCTCATCGATTTTTTTCTAAATGTGATTTTGTCAAGGTTTGGTCATAAGATTCTCACATGATAAAAAATTCTATGTTTAGATTGTTTAGATGGGATGGATCATTTAACCCAAGGTATGAATCTACTATGGTCGCTATTTGGATTAAGCTTTCGAGCCTACCTCTCTCCTTCCTTACTACTTTCTTGTAGAAAATTGTATGACTTTTTGGTAAGTTTCTTTAGCCGGACGAACTCACATCAAATGGCTCTCATCCTATATATGCTTGGGTTTGTGTTGAAATAGACTTATGCGCACTTGGCCTAGTTTGTTGGCACACGTACGAGCGCCAACATCCAACATTGACCTCATGAATGCCCTCTTTTCTAAGCCTAAATTCAATTCTAAAAATTATTACAAAATATCAAAAATCTTAGATTTATAATTAGAAACAATAATTCATGCAATTAATAATAATTAACATCATATACAATTAAGGGTTCAACGGAGGCTCGATAACAATTGAAGGATCATGCATCCTATGGTGGTGTAGAATATATATATATATATATATATTCCTCCATCTAAAGTTCTTAAGATTTTTCCGTTGAATCAACTAATCATATATAAACATGAATAAGATAATAGTGAGTGATTACTATTTGTAACGCAGAATTAACCTTTACGTAAAGGAACCACCCAAGTGTCTAGCCTCTACCGATAATCCACACAACTCAAACACTCACACAAAAAGCTACATAAGTCATTGTGTGCTAGCTCCAACTATTCCGTATATGATTTTTCTCTAAAAGAAATCAATCAAGGTTTTTTGCGATAACTCTAGAGAGAGGGTGCGGGTTTTGGGGAGAGAACACTATTTTTCTCTTTTTTCTTATTTTATGCATGTGTCATCCCTCTCTCCTTCCTTCATTTATAGGTGGCAACAACTTATCCTTATAAGTCAAAGAGATATTGCTTATATGGGCTTTGTTTAACTTTATTCTTATAAACCCCGAGCCTTATCAAATATTGCTTAAGTTTATTCCTTGATCAAAATATCTTACGGACTTTTAAATTAAACCCATTGGCTCAATTAATTACTAATTAATTTAGATCATCTAAATAAACCGGGTCATATATCTTTAGGAGGCTTACATGAGGAAACAATTTCTCAAATTACCTTCAAACCTAAATTAAGAGACTAATTTCTATTTTAGATAAATAACTTCTAAATTTGGAATTGACTTTCAAATTAGGAAACTAATTTTCATTTTAGAAAATTGATTTTCCAAAATATGAAATTTTTTTCAAAATAGAGAACTTTTTCAAAAACCTTTGCTTCTCTTTTATCGTGTGAATGTTTAAAACTATGTGTGTGACTTAATAGGCTCCTAGATATGTTATCAATATATTAAGAATAAAATAAACCTCTTTTATCTCTCAATACATAAATCAAGATTAACCTCTAGTAAGGCATCATGACTATTCGATTCTTTAGAAGGATTAATTAATTCATAATTTTCTTTTATGAGTATGGTTTTTATACAATTATATCTTTATGTCAAAATATTATAATGTAATCTCAAACTTGATTTATTGTCTATTTGATTATGATCACACAAGTTTTCTTCGATTTTCAAATGTCTTATCTCTTAAGTAAAACAATTATGCTCTATTGGTATGCTTTCACTATGACCACGCATTTCTTGAGCGAGATATTTATCAAAGTACAATATGATAACTCCTTTAGTATATAAAGAATGACATGTCCTATCTTAGTCATCCACTTATCTCCATTAGATTTCTAGTGCTTCCAATGAATTACCCACATGTAATTCTTTACCGAGTCCATCAAAACAAATGCCAAATTGCATAAATTCTCTAATGAGATAACAATGATAACTTCAAGTCAAAAGACTCGTTGTACTCATCCGGTGTGAAATTTTCATAAACTAAACCAAATAGGTTCTCATGGCGAGTCACATTCAATAATATGTTCTTTAACATTAATCACTTGAATGCTTGCTTTGGCATCATCATACTAATAGATGTGAGATCTCCTACTACTATTTTATAGTAAGAGCATAACACTCACAAGTCTTATCGTATGTTGTTAATGTTCAATCTTAACAATGCTACGACTTAAGACATTTAATGATATCGTTTAAATGTATTAATGTTTATCTTACACCTATTGATCAATTATTGATATAATGCATATCATATGGTATATAATTTTATCAAATTATAAATAATAAGAATTACTAGAAAGACTTCTTTTATTAATATTAAAATACAATATTATAATTTATCAAACCATCCAAATAAGGTTGGATCTTGACCGCTTACACTAACGAGGCCATATGGTGTGACATGATTTTCAAATACTTAAATAATTACTGGTATTCCTTTTTCTTAAAATCGAAGTCTTTTAGTTTCTTCAAGTCTTTTTGTGGGGTGAGGTAAAGGGATCTATTACCTCTTGCTTCATTTATTTTGGGTCGGGAAGCTTTCGGTAGACACCTAAATGCTCTTGTTGAGGATAATATTATTACCCCTTATTTTGTTGGTCAAAATGCAATTAGTATCGGCCACTTACTCTTTGCGGATGATATGCTCTTTTTTTGTAATGGTTGTAAGAACTCTGGAGGGAAAGTGATGTCTCTCTTGTAACATTATTTAGCAGCTAATGGACAAGAGATCAATTATTAGAAGAGTTTTATTCTTAGCACTAAAGATCTCCGAATACAAAATAGTTATCGTCAACGTGGATTGCTTTTTGTTTGTCCAACAATGTAATTTCCCATCTAGGTATGCCATTGTTTAAAGGAAGGGCAAAGATAGAGTAC